ACGCGCGCGCGCGGGGGCCGCTGGTCGCGTCTGCGGCTCCTCCGCTGCCCGGGCCGGCTCCGCGGTCCTTCGTTCCGGGGCGTCTCGGTGATGGCCGCTCTGCCGTTTCGTTGCAGTTTCGATGTGGACGTGGGAGGCGAGCCCGGCGTTGGCCTAGTCTGCCGTCTTGACTGGACTCTGCTGTGCAATTTCTTTTCTTGGCAAGTTTTTAAAAATGGACCTTAAAAATCTATAAACTGAAAAGTACATAGGAGCAACGAGAGACACTGGTTGCTACAGTGGTTACAGGTTAGCACTTCGGAGTCAGATTCTGTTCGTAAGTTGCTGTACTCAAATAAGGCAGTGTTTTCAAAGAAGACAAGACTATATAGTTCCTGACTGGGATGTTACATTTTTGCTCAACAAACTACTGTTTTGCTATATCGTATACATTTATATACATTTTAGAATGTTTTACATTACACAATGTACAAGTATATCTAGTAAACTAAATATTATACTTTGGGCTAAGAATCAAACCTTCACATTATTCCTAAAAGAAATTAAGTAATTTTAACTTACAGCAGCTTTGTCAGGAATGTCAGATGTTAAAAGTTAAAGGACTGCTTGTATATGACAAGTTGTGCACAGAACCAACTGGACAGATAGTGAGAACTTGTGTTACAGGCAAGTTCAGTTCTCCGCTAGTTAAATTTGTTAGATACTGGAACGGGTGACAGAGTAGCATTGTGGAATCTCTTCCAATGGACTTCAAAAAAATCCTCATATCTGGGATGCTGTAGCGGTTTTGCTAAAGCTAAAGGTAGCTTATAGTCTATGATCTTACAATTTATGGAAGTCGAATGTGTTAGACAACAAGCTGGCATCCAATTACAACACCGTGTCTCACATGTATTCATCCAAAGGACAGACATAGCATTATATTGGAAAGAATACGGGATTTGGAATCAGGAGACCTTACTTTAAATCCAAGTTCTGCCTCTTTCTTGCTATGTGACCTTGGATAAGTTATTTAACATTTCCAAGTCTCAGTTCTCTCAATTATAAAATGGGGATGGTATGAATAATGACGGGTGCTGGACCTAACAGTTGTGAGAAAGGATATGAAAAAAGGTATATAAAACTACTTTGTCAACTCTAAAATGGCATACAGCGTTTTATGATTATTTTTGAGCAGGTCTGGAATTGGAAACTCTCAAGAAAATAACTTCTTTATAATGTAGTGCGACATTTATACTTCAAGAGTTCTGCTTGTCGACACCAGGCTCAGATATGAATAGATTTTTTTTCCATTGTGGGGTTATTTTAAACCAGGTTAAGACCCTATAAGTCTCTGATTTCTATTAGCTTGTGCTTTTTTTTAATACCAAAATCAAAGTTCTCTTTACATGTAACTGCCATAAGGAAAAGTCTGTTCAGGAAGACTGACAGCTGAAGGAAGGTAGGTCCAAATGCAGTCAGCTTTTCAATAAAGAGTCAGCAGGAGAAGGTAAGGGGGTTGCTTGCATTACAAGTTCTTTGGCCTGGGTAAGAACTCATTCCTTTTGTAATTATGGGACTGTTTTGTCTTCCTTCCTCACTCTAAAACTGGACTTCCAGGTATAGAAATCTGGGCCTAGAAAATCTGACTGGGCGAACAGTTAGAAAGGCTTGTTTCTCAGCTCTCCTCCCCACGTCAGAGAGCCTAAGTACGGTTTGTGATAACCACTACAAGTTCCCACTCAATATTTCTGTCACCTACCGCATTACTGAGACCACCCGCTAAAAATTACTCCCCGATGCCTGCTCTTAGCAACATAAACAAATGTTGGAGGCACAGTAGTAAGCATAGCATCACGTGCAAAGAATAGGTGGCAATGGGGGTACGAGACATGAGAACCTAACCTTCAGCTCTTCACAAAGAAATCTCAAGATGACCCAATCTGGTGGGAGAAAGTCGGCAGGGCAAAGTTCTGCTTCCTGATTTGTCCTTCGCCCTTCTGCCTTTTGGAAAACTAGGCTCCACGCACGGCAGGCTTGCCTGCATACACCAGGTTTTATTTTTCCGTGTATTTAAAGCATTCTAAAGTAGAATGGGAATGAGATTTTAGAGAAAATTTAACCAGCGTGCATGAATCACGGTAGAGAAGGGTAAGCTGCTGCTCGTTGACTGAATTAACTCAAGCAAAAGGATGGCGAGTGACCAACTGACAGAACTGTTTAGACAAATGCACGGTACCGTTTGGTAGATTTTCTGATTTATCTGATTCATGGTATCACAAAGCTGGTGATGAACCTTCCAAGCTGCCGTCTTATCCCACCTAAGCCATCCGCACTTGCTGAGCAGATGTGACCGTACTTGCTCTTCTCCAGCCAAAGGGCCCTTATGAGGCTGCCATGTTGTATAATTTTTCTAGGCACTATCTTCCCATTACACTGCATTGGTTGTGCTAACATGCTCTTTATTAGTGCTCGCCCTGCTGGGTGGAGAAAAGAATTCCTTATGAGCCTTCTTACCTCGGCTGTCATCATCATTGTCTTCCCAGGTCTCTTCATTTGCCAGGAGTGGGTTCTGTGACTCATTCATAGACCTCACAGGGAAGGAGTGTCCATCACCCGGGCTGGTGGGGAAGAGAAAAGCAGTGAGCTCTGGCAGCTGACATAGATGCTTTATGAAATTAATAACCCCACTACAAAGAGGAACAGGGTGCTTACAACGATTTCAGCCATTTAACTTGTATGCTGAAGCCATAGTGGAATAGGATCTCACAACAGTATCATTTAGTTTCTGTACGGCCCTCAATTTCTATATCTTGATCGTTCGTCTGCATCGGGGTTACTGGGCATTGTGAGAGACAAGTTAACGAGGTGCTTACAAACTCATCTTATGTGTGCATAACGAGCTTCATAAATATCATTTAATGCTGGTGATCCCAATCGATATCCCATTATCGATTGTTTTGGTTCTAAATATTCCAGAAAAATTAGCAGATTCAGAATCATTGACTACAGTACAGATAAACTGCTGAGAACTGGCGACAGGTAAAAATGCCTCAGCATGCCACTATGGACGCTGAGGGAA